AAAAGAAAAACATTCGGAGCAAAAATCTCAAACTAACACAAGACACTGCCGTATAAACATAATATTGTATGTGTGCCAAAATGGCACCGATAAATATTTTCAAATTTGACTAAAATCGACCTGAAGTAACGAATAGATAATTTCCGAAAAAACCTGAAACAAAAACCACGCTTTTTTTGAGACGTCAAACATGCCATATAACCATCACCCTCTCATTGAGGTAGTAATAGTTGTTGAACGTGCATTGTGAATCATAAAGTGAACTTGATGATGGAATTATTCTGAACAAAAATTGACTACTTGGCTCAATAGATGAATACAAAACGTGGGAATATAAAACGTTCACCTCAAAATTTATAATCGAATGAAAAAAAAACGGCAACTCGACCACAACGAAATCGAATTAAACATACAAAAGAACAACGTAAAATCAGTTCACTGACGAAACATATTGAGGTTTGTTCATTTGGAGTAGAATTGAATTGATGACGACAATAAGCAGCCAACATCTGCGTCCATCGAAATGCAAAGAAGGAAAAACGCAGGAAAATGACTGATTGCGTGCATTCGGACAGTGTCTGGCAAACGAACACATTATATCAAGTAATATTACTGATTGGAGGAGAATAATTGGTGCGAATTATTGTTTGCTGATTTCTTTTTGAATATGTTCTTGGAGTGACGATGGATTTGTTAACATGGCCGTATTGGTGGCTAAATAAATGAGCATTTTTGATGCGAGCGGGCGCATTGATGACGGATGCCAATTATTAGTTAACCATTCGTTTGCAGACGATACGACATCTTCACGACACGCTCCATTCTCACTGATACATTCCCATAAAGACTCCATCAAAGGACGCATCATCTTCGTCATCTTAAATTCACCACTGATCGTTACGAGTAATCGCTTCGACATTTGATAACTGCTTACTGCTTACTTATTAGAAGTACATTGGAAAAAAACTAAGAAAACTACATGATCTTTGACGATTGTTGAGACATTTATCATAACTGTTACCGACGATACTTCCATGAATATCCTCGACATCAACTCAAATAATTGCAATAAACAATAATAAAATTCTAAAATAAGTTCGTCACTGTTGAATGAGATTTTGATAACAGCCTCAAAGAATTGCATCACATCACAATCTTCAACATCCATTCAGTTGACACTATTTCATTCTAGCATTATATTTTTATGGTGAGAGCACAAAATATAAATCGGCATCAATATTTACAGAGATAAATTGATAAATGAGCGAGAAATGTGTGTTGTAATCAGACTGACCAGCCAAAATCTGAAATCTTGTCTGGAACGATCCTTCACGTATCGCTCAAAAAACTGCTCCACCAATGTGCGTTGACTGATTGTTGTGGTGGTGCCGCGTGATGACGAAGGTAATGAGGCTTGTAGGGAACTAAACTTAACGTTTTCATTAAGCTGTCATCATTATCCAATTTATTATTATTACTATTACTGTAATTTAAACTACTGTTTTATTTCAAAAATTTGATTTTGATTGAATTATTCAATTCATTTAAAAACTCTCTACTCTAAGACTTAGAGCGGACGAAGCTTAATGAACAAAAATTCATACTAAATACACGACAATGTTCATATTTAGACGTACGTATACGTATTTCAAATACGTATTTAGACGTTCATACTAAATACACGTTCATATTAACAATGGTCATGCGAATACTAACAATCGGTATTTTGATTCAACTCGTTATGAACGATACATTGACCGCGCAGGCGGATGAAAATCACACCAAAATTCATCAAGACTAACGCGATTTTATCGTTAAGACGTTGTATTTGTTGTCGCAATTCATCGACTTTTTCGTTATTGCGGTTAATTGATGTCTTTAAATCACGTATCCTTTCGGCACCTTTTGCCAGCACAACCGCATTCGTTGGTTTCGTTCCAGCCGCATAAACATTCGGCAACAGACCCAACAATTGTTCAAAGCCATCTTTCAAAGCACAACGCCTGCACGAATTAGTCAACTGACACTTTAATAGGAGATGCTTTTTGATAAAAAATAGATAACGTTTTGCTTTTCGAAATTACGATTTCGGTATCGCAGATAACAGAAATGACGATATTTTTTGAAAATATCACACTTATTTAAGTTGATTATGCAGTGCCATTTTCGGCGTGGAATGCACATGAGATGTCAGCGTTTTGTAATGTCACCAAGGTACAATATGAACCGATATGCAAACCTATTTTGTTCAGCATTCAAATGCAAGATTCGCTTCCTTTCCACCGGCTCAATTGTACTGTCGGCAGCAGCAGATCTAAAATCAACGATTAATAACCATTCTGAGTGCACAGTTTGAATTTCAACATCGAAATGGTCAAATAATGTGCGGTGAATATTTTGGAAACGTTCGAAATACACCGATAAGTTTCACCAGACAATATGAGAACTAAGCATTTTGTACTTAATGTTTTTAGACTTAATATGACCAACATTATTCCAAACAAAACAACTGATCATAAATCATACACAAACCGATAACAATACCAGCACAATGAAATCATATCCAAAAACATTATGAATAGAAAATTTGAATATGTAAATGTAATGAAATACAAATAAATTTTTTGAATGTGCAAATTTAAGTATCTGTTGAACACAAAAAACAAAATAAAATTTCGAATATGCAAATGCAATACCTTGGTGAACGTTTGCGAGAAAGATGTTCATTAGAATCGCCACCCGCCAAATTTGCTTGCAAACGTCTCGACTGTTCTACGCTTGAGGTAGCGGTTGAATGGTGCTCATTGAAGATTGCATTCCTGAGTGGATCGCATAATCTGAACGTATATCGCCAATGATTCAGTTCAATCACCACACTTCGGATGGATCATTTCGCATTTGCAATCTAATTGCAAAGCGCATAACTCGCCAATCTGAGCTTGCTGACAGTACAGAGAGCGCAAACAAAATTCTGAATTTGAGAATACTGAGTCGTTGACTGTTGTGCATACTACCAAACGACGACGTAAAGAAACGATACGAGGCAAGTATTCAACTACGCGCAACATTAAGACTGTCATCGATGCTGATAGAAATAAACGAAGAAAGAATTAATGAAAGGTGCGATTTCATAAATGAAACAAACTTCTGCGATGAACGTTGTTGCCTACGAGTTTCATTCGTTTTGTTGACATCATTTTCTTCCTTAACGAACGACGTTAACAGATTAGTATTCAACGAGTGTGCCTGCTCGAGCGAGGAGATAATATTCGAGCTGTTATTTGACGGTGACGTTAGCGATGAAGGTGACAGGGACAAAGAGGATGAAGAGGACGGTGTGATATGGGTGGATAGTTGAGGATAGAGCGGTTGTGGGATCGGCAGAGAACGCGACGTGTTCGGATTGATAATCGTGGTGGCAGATGAGGCAAGTGGGGTGGCGGGCGATGAGAACGATGTCGACGATAATGACGCTGACAACGAGGCGGGTAACGGCGACGGCAAGCATGACGATGACGTGCTGGATAGCTGAAAATTCTGGAGTACTTTCATTGTAACATCACATCACTGTAATTCAGCTTACTCGTATGTA